AGGAATATAAGGCAGCACAGTGCTGACCCACAGCTAGTGTAGGAGGAGCAATCAAAATCCAGTGTCTGTCCAGTAGTGGACATCATCCACGAGCACTTTTCTCTTGCCCCTGTTCTCGCTTGAATAATGGAATCCAGAGAAACCTGAACTGTAGGATAATTAAATAAATGCTGGCATTGGAAATTGAGGATATTGATCTTTCCTTTTCCTCTACCCCACCTGCACCCACTGCCTAAATGCTGACCAGCCATTGGATCGGATAAATTGGCTTGGCCAAGTGGTAACCATGAGCTTTTTTGCTGTTTGGTGCAGGTACCTGAAGAAGTTACAGCACAGGAGGGTGGTGAGCTGGGACAGAGGTCAAGAGTTATCACTGGGAGCAATGAAGTGAAGTGAAATATGGGGTAACAAAGTGTAAATGACAGGAAAAGAATCCAGAATCCAGTCTTGGGCCATTGCTTGTCCTTCACTGACTCCCCTTCCCCTGTCCATCTTGCAGGTCCATGGCTGTGGAGTAACGCCTGAGGAACAGTGAGTGAAAGCACAAGTGGACAGGGGGTCTCTGCCTGTGAAGAATGCTGAAGAAGAGCAGCCTGGTCCTCTGGGGCGTGGTGCTCTTTGTGGCCTGGAACGCCCTTCTCCTCTTCTTCCTGTGGACCCGGCCTCCGGCTTCCTCTGATGACCATAGCCATTTGACTGAGGAGGTCATCAGGCTGGCCCAGGACGCTGAGCAGGAGCTGGAGCACCAGAAAGACTTGCTGAGGCAGATCCACCACTACAGTGCCCTTTGGAGCAAGAAGAGGAAAAAGGCAGAGGAAATGGGTCGGGTTCCTCCAGCCGCTCCCTCCAATGCTGGGGCTGTGCCCGCAACAGGTACGGTTCCGCACCGCCCGCGGATCTCGCCAGATGCCATCCTGCCCGTGCTAGTGATTGCCTGTGACCGGAGCACAGTGCGCCGGTGCCTGGACAAGCTGCTGCACTACCGGCCTTCCCGGGAGCGCTTCCCCATCCTTGTAAGCCAGGACTGTGGGCATGAGGAGACAGCCCGGGTCATTGCTTCTTACGGCAATGCAGTCATGCACATCAAGCAGCCGGACCTGAGCGACATTGCTGTGCCCACCGACCACCGCAAGTTCCAAGGCTATTACAAGATTGCCCGGCACTACCGCTGGGCCTTGAGCCAGGTCTTTCGCACCTTCCAGTACCAGGCGGTCATTGTAGTGGAGGATGACCTGGAGGTGGCACCAGACTTCTTTGAGTACTTCCAAGCAACCTTCCCACTGCTGCTGGCTGACCCCAGCCTGTGGTGCATCTCTGCCTGGAATGACAATGGCAAGGAGCAGATGGTGGATGCAAGGCAGGCAGAGCTGCTCTACCGCACGGACTTCTTCCCTGGCCTGGGCTGGTTACTGCTCTCAGAGCTGTGGGACGAACTGGAGCCCAAGTGGCCTAGGGCCTTTTGGGACGACTGGATGAGGCAGCCAGAGCAGCGGCGGGACCGCTCCTGCGTAAGGCCCGAGGTCTCGCGCACCATGACCTTTGGCCGCAAGGGCGTAAGCCACGGGCAGTTCTTTGACCAGTACCTGAAGTTCATCAAGCTCAACGACCGCTTCGTGCCTTTCACCCAGATGGACCTCTCCTACCTCAAGAAGGAGGAGTACGAGCATTCGTTCCTGCCCAAGGTCTATAGTGCCCCCGAGCTGCGAGTTGAGGAGCTTCAGGGAAACAAGCGCCAGGAGCTGGGCACTGTTCGGGTGCAGTACACCAGCCGTGACTCCTTCAAGGCCTTTGCCAAGGCCCTGGGTGTTATGGACGACCTCAAGTCAGGTGTGCCCCGTGCTGGTTACCGTGGCATTGTCAGCTTTCTCTACCGTGGCCGGCGTGTCTACCTGGCCCCCCCCTCTGACTGGACAGGCTATGACCCTACCTGGAGTTAGCACAGTCTCTCCTGGGACATTGACCCTTCAGCATGTTGGGACCCTACGAGATGGGGAGGATGTGTGTCTATGTGTGTGCATGTGTGTCTGTGTGTGCGCGAGTGTGTGTGCGTGCGTGCTCCAGAATGAGGAGGGGGCACAGAAACTTTGTATTTTTGTTTTATGCGTGGCATTCGAGTGCATTCCGGGTCAGGACAGGCGTGTTTGTGCACTTAAAACTAGGGTAAGGGAGTGGGGAGACAGGAATTGTTGTGACACCCCATTGTAGACGGGGCTGGTTGGCATGGGCTAGGATACTCTCCACAGCCCTCTGCCCCAGTGCCTCTCCCTTCTCTGGCTTGGTAATCTCCCCTCTACTACATCCCTGGTGGCTTCTCCGTGGGCTGCATTCAGAATCCTCAATCGTGCCCAAAAATGGATAACCTACCAGGGGCAAGCTAGGGTTTGATAGAGCTGAACCAAACTGGACAACCAGTGGCTTCCTTCCAGCATAGGTATTATCCATCAGAGGAGCAACAGGGTGGCGGGTAGCATGAAGGTGACTCCAGAAGTTGGGATAGACTAATGGAAGAACAGAACCCTTTTAACATCTTTTGATTAATTTTCCCATGGCCATCCTTGGTTGGGGGCTCAGTGTATGTAGGCAGGGACCTCCTTGAGGGATCAGCTTTGGCAATCCATAGTGGGAGTGGAACAGCAGAGATAACAGGACCTCCAGGTGGTCCTGCCAGAGCTATCTTTTTTTTTTTTATAGAGGGGCATTGTGTAGAGGTCAGGGGCTGTCTTGTCCATCACAACCTTCTTGATGCTCCATATCACCAGTGCTGTCTTGGATGGAGTGATAAGAAACCACTTATCCTTTGATTTTCTTTCCTCCCTCCCACATTGGTCATCCTGTAACCTTCTCTAGTTCCATGGTGCAGCAGCGATGCAGGGACATCTTGCACTTTAAATCTCTTCTTTGTTGGGCCTCATCTAACAGTTGGTGGCAGGAATGGAGCATCAAGAGTCCCATGCCTTTTGACCTCCTCAGTGGGTTCCAGTTGCCCTGCGGTTCTGGGGTGTGTTGGTCATCTTGAGCTGTCTCCACCAAGTGAACCCCCTCTCCCTCCTTATGCACAGCCATTCCTCTCTTCACAATGGGTATGCCACAGCGGTTGTCTCTTTCCCCATGTAATCCCATAGTATGGAGGAGGCTTGTTGCGAAGCCAGGGCACAGAGACCCAGCTTGTTATTTTCCCTAGGGAAGAAAGGGGAGTCTCAAACTGCAGACTGCCTTAATCCTCATAGGGAATTTCTTTCTTCTCCATAGTTAGGTTTTTGCTCAAAGTTGGCTCATCCCTCCTGCACGGGCTTCCACCCTGTGTCCCGTGAGAGATCATAATTGGTCCTCTGTTGCTATAGCAGAGGGGAAATGGTGTAGTAATGGGGTGGGTGAGACATGAGACCTGGCCATGGAGGAGAACACCAGGAAGTGATGGAATACAGGGGAAGAGGCTCTCTGGCCCCCCATTTTGGCCTCGGGGAGTGGGGGTGAGGTTCTGCTAAGCGATTCAAGAGTCACTTTGGAAAAGGGGAGTAGGGATGCAAACCTCATTTGGCCAAAATGTAGACCACACCAAAGGGTAACACTTTGTTTTTTGCTTTCCTGTTTGTTGGTTGTACTGTTTTGTTCCCTTTTTGTTTAAATCTCCTTGCATCTTCCCCCAAAGGAAAAGGAGAAATATGAAACCAGTTGCTGATCCAGTCCAGTTACTGGTTGAATTCCTTAGCATTCTGCAGCAAGTTTGGCAAAGGGTAGGTGGCGCAGGAGCTCCCCTACTCCAGCTGGTGGGGGCAATGTCTGGTGGACGGGATCGCCTGACAAGTGAGGAGATGGGTCAGCAGATTGCCCTTTTTCTTCCAGCTCCTATGAGCTCCATCCAGAGTGGTGCGGTGTGTTTTGTATTCTCCCCACCCCTTCTCCTTGCATGTTACTGTGGAGATCTATCTTGAGGAGATCCATTTGGAGGAGGGATCTCCAAAAATCCACCAAGGTGAAATCAGAGTCCTGGACATGAAGAGGGAGTTGTGTGAACTGTTCCATTACATCCTGCCTGGCACTTTGACACCTTCCCCTCCACCCCTGTGTGTTTTGCACATGACTTCATTGCGAGCTGTGCCACCCTTGCCCAACATGGCTTCCTGGTGGCACTTCTCTTCCATGATGCAGAGAGGCCTTCAACCCTGGCTTTAAGGCAGGGGGATTATCATGCACAATGAAGCACCAAACAGTGGGTGTTCCCTTTCACCAGTCCAGCAGAGGGGGAAAAGCCTTCGCTTCCCTGCCTTTACCAGATCTGCACACCATTTTTTCCCCCCACACAAGTAAGGGTAAGGTGGCCTAACATTTCCTCCAAGCTTGACTGCCCCTTTGCAGGAGTGGAATAGGTGCCACCAGCTGGGTGGCTCTTCTCAATTGAGGAGATGACTTCAGTCCCTTCTCATGGCCCCCAACCAAAGACTGCAGGTATTTAGGAAGCCAGCAGCTCCCTTTACCCATACAGGAAAGTTTGCTGCTGAGGGAAGTAGAGTTTGAAACCCTTCCTTTGTTGTGGCGATGGCAATAGAAACCTGCTTGCGTTTTTCTTTTCTACACCACATGCTTGCCCCATCTGATGGCCTTTCAGTTAGTCTGGGATGACTTTCCAGCAGCTTTCTGTTTTCTGGTGGAGGGGGATAGGCTCTTGGTGATGCTCCCAGGCTACCAGGGGAGCCACATGCTTGGGCCAGTTCAGGATCACCCAGTGCCAAGTTCATCCCGGTGTCTTTTTACACTTTTGTTAAGAAGCCATTCCAAGTGGAACAAAGAGGGAGGGGAGGAGAGGAAGGAATTTCGGAAGGGGATAACCGGGGGGTGGGGGGAGGGGGAGAGAGGCTGTTGAGGGGGAGAGAGGCTGTTTTTATGTCCAAAACTTCATTCTGCAAAAGAAAACTTTAAGCTGCAGAAGTTATTTTCCAAAATAAAATAAAAGCCGGATCTTTTCCGTCTCAACATGTCTTTGGTCTCTGCTTTGGATTGTGTTCATATGCATTTCCCCTGATACCCACCTTTAAGATCCCAAACAATAGAGTTAGAGGGAATTGTTTCATGAGAAAGCACACTGTTGCATAGCTAGTAGTCGATGTCATGCTCTAAACATCCCCCCAACTTGAAGCACCATCGCTCAACGTCTTCTGTGGAGGGATCCCTTTTCATCCCTGCCCGAGCCTGGGGAAGAGCAGAAGACAGCCAGTCACTTAATGATTAAACGTTAAAATCGGGCACAGGCAGAAACCCTGGACACAGAGATGAATTGGGCTCCAACAGGGAGCGGTGTCACATTTGGTTGGAATGGAGCTGATCACAGGGAATTTGTTCTCCTGGTTTGATCTTGCGGCAGCCCTACTCAATAGAGGAGGAGCCAGGGACTGCAATGGTTCATGGTTGCTGGTACCTCTGCTGTAACATGCAAGAAGGAGCAGGGCTGGGTGACTGTGATGTGAGAAATGCCCAGGGACAGTAATAGAAGCGGCAAAGATTTATTTGGGCAATATTTTTTATTGGACCAACTGCACAATTGGGATGCAGTTAGACAAGCTTTTGAATGCAAACCATTCTTCAGGTCCCTTTTCACACTGTGCTCTAAAAAGGACAGCAGTGAAGGGAACATTTGTAATATGAGGGGAAGATTTGTGCTAGATCTGAGCGCATCCTTTTATAATGGAGAGGTACAAAAGGTGCTCTTGCACATCACCTCTCAGGACCTTCTGTTGCCAGACTCTGTCCCAAATAACTTCTATTCTGAATAGCTGAAGGCTAGGAGGAGAAAGCAGGTAGCATCTAATGTTCCTGTCCTATAAACTATGCTGCCTTAGTTACTTCTGTACCCTCTGACTCACAGCAGAAAGAAGCATGCTTGATCCTGTCTCATCAAATTCTTGACAAGGTTATGAGGGCTTGATGCCACAGGGGATGTATCAACAGCAACTGTTTTGTAACAGGTGGCTACGTCCTACCCGCAACTGAGGTGTTGGGCTGTCACATGGTGCCATCACAACAGCTCTTTGTGGATGTCATCATGTAATTACATCTGTGCAACTAAATTGGCTGGTCCTTCCTCGACTGAAAGACAGCACAGTTCAGGTCAACAAACACCTGCCCCGCTCCCACTTCCCTCGTTGGAGCTGGCATCAGCATCCGAGTCAGGCAGGTGCAGGCATATTAGTGCAACACAGTAGGTGCAGAAAACCCAAAGTCACAGCCACAGCCCTGGAAAAGATCTGTGTAGAAATGTTGAACTTCATCAGTAGCCACTTAAAATAATCTTGCCTCTGCTGGGGGAGTGGTCCCTCTAGACTAGTTCAGCAAGCCCTGTCCTATGGACCCTTAAACCCACCTTACCCATAGGAGAGAGGAAGGTGGGTGGGTGTCCAAGTTATTTTCATTGCAACTCTGAGCAAAGACATCACAACCTTTTTTTTGCCTAACCCCAAAAGGTAGGTATCTAAGAAATTGGTTCAGTGAAATCATATCTACAGAGGCATCTAAATAAATCCTTGAAGATTAGTGCCCATAGAGAACTTCTATTCCGGCCTGGCTTGGAGTTCTGTGGTTGAAGGCTGAACCTGTCCGCGCTGTTTTACATTTGTATTTTAATGCAGCCAGACGTGCAGACTGCATTTGGTTCTGGGCTGCTGCGCAAATCAAAGGACAGCCAATCCCCAGCTGATTTGTTTGGGGGGGGCGGGGGGGAGTGGGGATTATGCTGCTATTATGCTGCCAATTGGCAGAGGGGCAGGTAAGTCTGAGTGTAGCTGTACAATAATAAATAGTCCTTTACGTGTCTCAAATGCCTTCTCTGTCTGAGAATTTCAAAACCCACCACCAGAAAGCAATGACTAGGCCTCGGCAGCCCATTTCAAAGGCTGCTGCATTTTTGTCTCAGCTGTACAGCCAGGGAAGCTGAGCAGACGGAAACAGAGCTTTCCCTTGCCCATGTTAACACTGCAGTCCAGCAGCAGAGTAAAACCAGATGTCTGTCTGGCATCTAGTAGGTGAATCTGGGGCTGGTATTTCACCCTGTGCTTTGCACCACAACGTTTCCTCTGTTCCATATAATCTGTTTCTGGGACAGACCCTTAGTGGGTATAAAGAGAGACTGTGTTATCATCATACATAAACTTCCCAGGTGAAATCAGGGGCCCATTGTACCGGGTACTTTGGAGATACTGAGTAAGCTGCCCCTGCAGAGGCAAAGTAACCACCTGCTATGGGAAGCTGTGAAATCTCCTTCGTTAGAGGTTGTCAAGAAGAGGACGCGTGGCATCTGGGATGGTTTGGGAAAAGCCCATCTTGCATCAGTGCAGGGGTTGGATTAAATGATCCAAGATCCCATCCAGCCCTAGTATTGTATGACTGAGCATTTGAATCCCAACCTGTCATGGAAACTGGGGATGCTGGGCGGAGCATGTTCCAGATGTTCAAGATGTTCCTGTTTTGTGGCTTTTCCCAGCCATGACAAATCAGGACAGCCACGGCTAGGGCCAGAGTCATGTTCGCTGTGGGGCCAACCATAGAGTTGTAGCGTTACTCCAAATGCAGCTGAGTTGGCAGAACTTGACCCTGGGGAAGCCCAGGCAGCATCAGAGACAGAAAAGTTGACTATGGATTGCAGGAGTTAGCAATACCATTCCCAGAAGCAGAAGTGAAGTTTACAGTGCAGCATGCTCTAACGCCTGGGAGAAGCTTTCCCACAAAGCCCCTGACGCAAGTGCACCCCCTGTCCCTACCCCAGTATCTCCACCCCAGCCTTTCTGCAGCTGCCAAGCCCTCCCATGATTCCTGGAGAAGGACCAAAAAGGCAGTCCATACAAAGCAAACCCCAGGGTCACTTGCAGGTAGTCTGTATACACTATGATCATTTCCTGTCCAAGCCAAGTCACCTAATAGATAGCTCTGAGCCTTGTAGAGCTGGTCCATACAGTAGGGCAGCCCTCTTCCATTCAGAGCCAGTGTCAACAGGGTAGCAGCTCCGTGCCATTCAGAGCCAGTCAACATATACCAGTAGTAATCACCCCCCTCTGCCATTTAGCAGTCATCCATATACAGCTTAGCAGCCAACCATCACACAATCTCAGCCTGTATGCTGGAGATCTGTGCACTTCCATTCCCAGCCAGTCTGGGCATGCACAACAGCTGCCACCTTTCCGTGTCTTGGGGTCTGCTGCCATCTTGTGGCCTCGCCCAGCCCCAAGTGAGTCATTTCCATTCTTTCCCTCACTCCTTTTTTCCCCCATTTGTCCTTTCCCTTCATCTGCCCACCCACTGGGGTTGAGCACACAGGATGAGTAATGATGACTAGAAAGGGTCTTGGGTGGCTCTTCCTCTCTCCCCCTGGTGTAAATCAGGATTACCCCCACTGGCATCATTTCAGTGACTCCAATTAAAAAGCAGTGTCAGCAAAATTAGAAGCACGAGGTTAGCTCCCAGCTCCGGCCGGTAAACTGGCACGGTCTCGGGAAGCGTCTGAATTGTCACTCATACAATGTGTTGACCTTTGAGTCCTCTAACCCAGTACTGGTGCCCAACTGGTGGCCCATGGGCCACATCCATCCCCCGAGGTGTTAATGTGCAGCCTGCTGTGGTCCCCAGCCACCCAGGAGCTGGACAACCCTGCTCTAACCTTTCAGTGTCTTCAGAGTGACGGGCATCAGGCACAAAGCGTTACCTGACTGCTGACTGTCCAGCTCAGGCACAGTGGAAAAGCTGGGACAAGCACTCAGTTCCCACCTGCAGGCGAATCCCATCCCTTTAGCCTGGGTTCAAGGGAAACAGCGGCAGCCCCAGGACTGTGGGGATGGAGGGAAACAGGAAAGCTCAGGAGGAGACTTCCATGCTCTTGCCCAAGCCCCTTCCCTGCTTCAGGGACAACTAGGAGGATTGAGAAGGGGCCATGCAACTGCTCAAGGTGCTTCTGATGTCCTGGAGCAGAGAGAGGAGAGGAGCTCTGTCCCACACGCCACATTGGAGGCCCTCCTTTTCTAGTCTCAAGTATACTAATATACAGCATGTATTATAATACAGTGTGCTATTGCAACAAGATAACACTGGTGACACGCGCAGCTTGCACGCCACTATAACCCCCAGTCCCATTCTGCAGCATTGCAGCCTTACCAGTTAATCCCCAGTTCATATTTGTGCCGGTGATTGTGTAATACAATTGCAGGGTCCTTCCAGAACTCCTCTTTATTTCAGACTGATTTTCCAGTTGCATTTTGAATCCTAGCCCTGTCCTTTGCATCAGGGGGGCAGCAACATTGTACTGATGGGCCTGCAGCTTGTAACTCAGTCATACTGCAGGCTGCCGATCCCCTCCTGCCATCCAGCTGTCCCTGCTCTGTGCAGAAGGCTAATTTCGCAGCAACCATAAGCAGAGGCTGCCGTGAAGGGGGAGAGAGCAGCCTTTGCAATTCAGACTCGCCATGCTTTTCAGCAGCACCTTTTCCAGTGGAGGCTGCATTATGGGGGTGAGAGAGCAGCCTTCTGCACAAAACAAGGCCACGCGGGTGGCTGGAAGAGATTGGTGGTCTATAGAAGTGACTGGGTCAGAGGCTATGGTTTTAATAAAAACTGACCCTGACCTAAGGGACATTGGATCATTGCTCTTTGCTTTTTTTTCTTCTTCATAGCTTTGCATTTCTCTTTCTTTTCTTTTGCTTTCCCAGTACTTCCTTCCAAACCCTCCAGAAGTTCACCGCATGCCTCCAGAGGTATGTATACAGCAGTTTGAGAAACGGTGCCCTAGGCCAACCAGCTCTCATCTGGCACTGTGTACTGAGCTGTGCTGTCACTGCAGCCATGACTAGAG